AATATTTGACCCGCTCTATCGAAATCAGTCGGAAGTCGCAACAGCTCATTTCAAAATAAATGTGGATTTGCGTAAAAAACTATTTTTTCGGGTTGCGGGTGTTTTGTTTGATTCTAAACAAACAAAGTCTTGGCTTTCAGAATATGAAACTTTTATTTCGAAACTCACACGATAAATACATTCTTTAAGCTTGTAAAGGGAAGATGACAGGCAATCTGCTCTTCCGCAGCGCCGCCCCCCCTCCCTCAGGCTGACATTATGAATGTAAGCGTAGAGTAATCATAAATAACACGGCAGGGTCCGTTACAGTTTGTTTTCATCTGATTTCAATTAAACAAAGTCTTGGCTTTCAGAATATTAAACTTGTTTAAGCAAATTCAGATGATAAATACAACTTTGAAGCTTGTAACGGCATAATTACAAGCGGAGAACGGAGTAATTTAACGTCACAGCAGGCATAACAACAGCCGGTGTCAGTCATTATATAATGTGACATATTTCGCTTAATATTTGGAGTACAAAAACAATCCTGATATCATTAGAAAGTTAGGAATATCCTCTTTCCAGCAGTGTATACAACTCAAAATTTGTCTTCGGGTCAATGCGACTGATTTCGATAGAGCAGGGGCCTCATGTATAACGCCGTCGTAGGATTGATGTGGGAAGGTTGCTTTCATAACATTAACACAACATATTCGAGGTGGTTTTAAATAACATATCCGTATTTATTTATTTCTCCAAGTTATGTTTTTGTGTGCACTGAGGAGTCTCAAACAGGCGTTTGTTAAATCATTTTAAGATTGGCTTTAATCAATTTGTGAAAATGAATTCTTCATATAAATGGAGAGGTAACATTTTATTTATGGTATTATTTCCACATATTTCTCTCCATTCTTCCTTCTGCCAACGGTGTCGCAGTTTCTCGTCTCTCCCGTTTTTGTGCTTAGTGCGTACGCATTGGTCAGAGTTTGCGTGGAGGACCGCACTTTTCCCGCCAAGTTAGTATTTTATAAATTTCAAACATTGCGTAGAAACTGCCGTACGCCATTTTTTGAGCGTATATCCCTTTTTATAAATGAGGCCCCAGGTCACATATGTGTGTGTGTGGTTTCTTGTTGATCTTACTATGTTGATTGTTTCGTGACGTTGGATTTTTTGTTTTATAGTATAACGATTATTTATGTGGTTAAATGTTTTAAAATGCCTGTTGATGTTCATGCTGTTAAAAAAAAAGGTGATGGTGCATTTAAAGAAACATTTAATTCTGGTTATACAAGACTCAAACTAAAGTTGATTACCATTATCACATGATCTGTCAATGTGATTTTCATCTAGTTTACCGTTTGGTCAATATTTTCTCAAAGTGCCCGTCACAACGTCTCACAGTCCAACGGGACATCTCATTTTCTGCGACCAACATTAATCCCAGTAGGCTGGATTTAGAACAATGAATAGACTTAATTCCAGCATTAAACCTTGATAAGGCGCACACACACTCAGAGGGCGTCTGCTGATGATAATTCTGCGTGAGGAATGTGTCCCTCGCTCAGAGCTATGATGACTCTGATGGGGTTTAATTAAAGCTGTCTGTTGGACTCATCATGGTGGGTGTGGGCCACTATAAGACTCAATATGTAGTGATATGTTTGTGTTCTCCATGTTAGTGAGGAGATGTGTGTGTGATGTTTGTTTAGGCACATGTAGTAAACCAAAACATCTTTGTACTGTCCGTCATCTGAGGAGTGAGTGGTTTATCAGCTCCCTCAGAAAGCAGTATACTTCTCTCTGAGACGTCACACTAACACACGCCTCCTGCTCCTCTTCTTCTCTCCTGCTGCTGCTCCTCTTCCTTCTTTCCTCACTACAGAGACCTCTGCCAAGGAGGGTCTTCTCCTTTGGTGCCAGAGGAAGACCGCTCCCTACAAGAATGTCAATGTGCAGAACTTCCACATTAGGTAATACACACAATCCCACTCTTAGGTGTCGAAGTGGAGTGATCTAGTGTCAATAGTCTTCATTTTTAGAAGAAAGCTGTTGACAGTCACTATTAATGTTCACAACACATTTAATAAAAACCTAAAAGTTCTGGTGTAACTTTCTTTCAGAATTCAGCTCTGTGTCTGAAGGTTATAACATCTTTGAAAACAGTCTAACGGTCTGCAGTGAAACCCTGAAAGAAAACATATGTAGGATCTAAGAATAAACTAATGAACAAAAAGAGACTCTCACTGGCTATATATAGTGGAATATAAGTGAATATTTTGTTGAATATGATTATATATATATATATATATATATATATATATATTTACTTCATAAGCTAAATGTTAAATGGAAGCTTAGTGCTCTGTATATAAAATGAAACAAACTACTTTAATCGTGTAGAAGGGTCGCCCCCTGGTGGAGTAACTACAACATGTTTCACTGTTTAGTGTGAAGCCACTTCCAGGAGTATGTGAAGATTAAAAAGAGTGAAGGGACAGATTCAGAAGCTTTCAAAGTGCATATTGTACAGTTACTGTATACAGCTCACAGAGTACAGGTTACAGGCCGAGAAGACGAGTGTAGAGGAGAGCAGGTTCAATGTCTACAAGGGGGGCGGGACCGCGGTTAAGAAGACACACACACACACACACACACACACACACGCATATATATATATACAGGCACGACAGAGGACATGCAATATACACACAACAGGACACACATGTAGGATTGTTTAGTCACCAGGTCAAAAATGTATTTCACACTTTCAGTTGCAACAACGATCTGTTGTTATGTTGGCGTGACTTCCTGTTGCCTCCAGCTCAGTGAAAGCATTGTGTATCAATTTCTCACGCTGTGTGACTTTGAAATCTTTAGGAAACTGTACTCACTCTATATGGATTATTCACAGGGTCAGTATATGATACAGGAAATGGTCCCCGGTGAAGTATTTGTAAAATGAAAAGGGATTTATTGGCACGTTAACCCAGCTTCTGCAGATCAGACGAGGCTCAGTGAATGATCTCTGGTGTTCATGTTCTCTCTAACAGCTGGAAGGACGGTCTGGCCTTCAACGCTCTGATCCACAGACACAGACCCGACCTCATCGACTACGACAACCTCAGAAAGGTACACACACACACACACACACACACACACACACACACACACACACACACACACACACACACACACACACACACACACACACACACACACACACACACACACTACTACTACGTTACGTACGTACGTACAGCGACTTACAATAAGTGCGTTCGACCAACAAGATAAGTGCTACTCAACTGGCTTTAGATAAGCCAGTCCTTTACACACACTTTATTTAGCTTTGCATATTTTGAAGCAAAGTCGTAGTTATGTTGTCGTTAAAAAAAATCTAACATTAAACTTTTTACTAATAAAAAGTAGGACTTAGCAATTGTTCTGTGTGCTTGTTTAGGACGACCCTGTGACTAACCTGAACAACGCCTTTGAGGTGGCTGAGAAGCACCTGGACATCCCCAAGATGTTGGACGCAGAAGGTAGGTCTGGAGCTGAGAGCTGTCTGTCAGACTGCGTTTACATGAGCAACACAGAGACTGGGATGTGAACAGGCAGCAGTTAATAAAGCCTGACTCATTCTCTAACTTTAAGACCCTTATTATCATTTCATTTACATTTGGTAACTACTCATACTCCAGTTTTCAGTTTCAATCACTGAAACAGCACTTACATTGTATCATTTACTACAGTTCAAAAGTGTGCGATGTCAAATAGGAATACTCTATATTTCCAAATACCCTTTCATGCTTTTAGCTTTTAAAAGAAAATAATAAATGTTTAATAATGAGTGTGTTTTGTACATGTAGAAGAAACACCACTCAAATGTCAAACTGAATTCTTAGATGAAATGAGTACATGTGGTGTGATCATTCTAACTTTTCTCCCTCCATTCATTTAACAATACAAACTTGAAATGGTTTTGTCTATTATTTTGTGTTGTTAGTCAGTAATATATTTTCTAATGCACATTGGTATCATTAAGAGTACAGGAGTAAAAAGTGACAGTATTTAGTGTTGAATTTAAAACTCACTTCCATTCCAGTCTGTGTTAATGTGAATATAAATGTTGCCACTGATCCCTAACTCACTGTATCCGTTTATATGAAAGCCCCCCCCCCAGCGTTTCTGATTGTAATGTTTTATCTGTGTGTATGAGGGGTACACTCATATGAGCAGTAAGAGCTTGTCTCAATATTTATGTATTTATTTATTTTCTTCCACACAAAAAATGTTGTTGGTTTCCTTGCAAACCTTTATTTCCTCCCCCGAAAAAGAAAAGAAAACTTAGAATATTCATAAAAAAATAAGCACACAGGTGTTTTAATAAATATATGGATATACCCTTGTACATACTGTAAAGTTAATTCTGCTTGTCCTCTTGTGTTTCTTCTGTTTGTGTATGAGGCTCTGATTGTGTTTCTGTCTGTTAACAGCTTGTTAAGTGTGTGTAAAATATGTGAGTGCATGTACCAACATGTGTGTCCTGTTGTGTTTATCCCATGTCTTGCCTGTATTAGTGTGTGAGTGTCTTCTTAACCACGGTCTTGCCCCCACCTTGTAGACATTGTGAACACTGCTCGTCCAGATGAGAAAGCCATAATGACTTATGTGTCCAGTTTCTACCATGCCTTCTCTGGAGCACAGAAGGTACCCTCTGACCCCTGATGTATAACCCCCCCCCCCACCCCCATTACTAACAGGGTGCTGCTACCTGTCCAGCATGGCTGCTCTCTCTCCACAGCCTGCAGAGTCTCAATAAGAACACTTTGGGACACAAACACTCAGCAATACACACACAGTCTGATTGTAGCTGTGCTGGTGACAGCAGTAAATACTCCCTCCACTCTGTTGTGATGTATTGTCAACCGAGTGAGTGGAATACTTTGATAATTATTAGCAGATGAAGGATTAGAACTTTGTAGCAGCAGTGTAACATATTGGTGCTGTAAGTAGCAAAACAAAGTGTGGGTGTTTTCTCTTTGGTTTGGTTCACTTGGTCTTTTGAGAATGTGTCTTAGTCATCCTCCAAATGCAACTCATCTAGTTAGGTGTAACATAAAGTTCATTTGATTTCAAAGTAATTTCAATTACTGCTGGATTAGTACTATGATGTTTATGTGCATGAAGAATCAGACGACTCTATTCTGCAGTTTGCCTTCAATTATTATTGTCATGCTCTGATTTCTACACTTAAAACCAGAGCTAAAGATTGGATTATTTGTAATATTATTATCAGTATTATTTGTTGTTAAATGTAGAAAGATGGTTAAAGTTATTTCTGTTTTTATTCTTTTTTTATTTATGGATAGGGTTGATAACTTTTTATTTCTTTGAGCAGTTTATAATGCCACCTGATTATTAAAGACATCATTCTCAGCTGCTGAATGAACCAAACTAAACCTCACTCTCTGAGAAGAGTGTTCTGAGTAAACCTCTTCCTCAGAGCTGCTTTGGCAGCTCATGTGCGTGTTTGTGTCCCAACCTGGAACTTGTGGCTGCGTCGTCCGAGGGGGGGAACAGGAGGAAGCTGTGGACCTAAAGAGTCCTCCCTCACTCTCACACCCTGCAGGAGCGAGCTCATGTAGCTCTGGGTAGCTTTGGCTTCACTTTCTCTCTCTCTCTCTCTCTCTCTCTCTCTGCTTGCCTTCCTGGTGAACCGCTCCCCCTCGCTGGGTGCTGTGTAGACATCGTGGGTACGCTGCGGCCGGATGAGAAGGCCATTATGACCTATGTGTCCTGCTTCTATCACGCCTTCTCTGGCGCTCAGAAGGTGAGCTTCTCACCCTTCAGACTGACTTCAACAGTGCAGAAGAAGAAACTCCAGTTATTCCAGACTGAGAGAAGATAGGGAGCAATGTCTTCAGATAGGATCAGAAAATGGGTCAAATCCCAGAAACATCTGGAAATGTTTCTCAAAATATTAAATAGATTAAGCTAACCATGGAACCTGGCTAGAATCCTTAATAAGGAAATCATATTTCCCCATGCATAAGTAAAGGAATAATATATCTAAAAATAGCAACACTGTTTGATTATTTTCCTCAGTACAAGATCATTACTAATGTTCTTTTAATTGGACTGTTTTTCAAATTCTACCACATATGCAAAGTAGTCATTTGTTTCAAGTCACATATTCAAGAATATCCTGATAACTGAAATTCACCACAAATGACTCATTGTGAGTGTTTTATTATCTCAATCCATGATAAAATCAATTAGCCATCCCCAGAGAATTCTGCTTTATATTCCTCCTCACTGGATAAGACTTGTTCACAGGGAAACTCAGGGAATATCAACAGGATAGGAAAGCCAGCAAACGCTCTCTCATGCTTCTGTTTCAGCTTCTTTGGACATTGACTGTGTTTCCCCAAAAAGGTTTTACTTTATGGTCTGGATTTCAATTCCCAAACTCACGTCAGTACTGTAATCCTCCTGCATGACCACCATGTGCCTTCACTGGATTGTTGTGGGTGTCAAATGTATCAAGTTTCCACTGAAATTCTGAATACATGTAGGTAGAGCAATGTGTTGTTTACTGTGGGAAATGATGTTGAATGATGGAATAATGTAGTTAGCCAGCATCAATGCATTGAACCCCTGCAGTGTAATCGGCCCTGAAGCCTATTTCGCAGCAACCTACCAAAGATAATGTGACACAACATGTTTGATTTAAAATGAATTTCATTGACTATAAATTACTGTATGTCCTTTTTAGATTCTACTCTATCGAGAGCAACTGTGTCCATAGCAGTAGTCTGCCATTCAGAAAATTAGACTATTAGAATTCATTAATTAACCAATCAGAATGGAGAATTGAACAAAACCATGTGATTAAACCAGATAATGGTACTGATGGGTGTTTGGGAGGGATCTCTTTTATCACTGTGGGGAACATGACTAATGTCCTTCCAATTCTCAGCTAATAACACTTGTCATTTCAAATGTTTGTTTTATTTTGTGATGTTATTTAAATGTATATATAGAATACATTGGTTAAGAATGTAAAGTAATATGATGGAACAGGGTTTTTAGTACATATTATATGTGAAAAGTGTGTACTGTTTTTGTTTTATTCCAGTGGTACAGTAGTGTAATATCGTAGGCAGCCGTGCTGGTGTGGACAGCAGTGCGACAGAAACTGTAACTAGACGTATGGACTGACTCCTGAGTTTTGGCGGGAGACGCATGGAGCTTTAAACGCACTTATTGATTTTATTTATTTTTAGCACATTAAACTAACCATCTGCAGCTTGAGCATGTTTTGTCAGTCAAGTGTAACCTCCATTTGACTTTGATTGAGTCATTTACACTTTTCTAAAAATAATGTGACCTTAAGGTTAGTTTTATTTCTGTTCACTGCCTGTGTGTGGATTGTGCTCGCACAAATAAAAAAAAACAGAAGTGATTAATTATTCTAACAGAAGTAGATTGAGGAAATTATAATGAGCAGTAGACACTGTTTGATTTAGAGACTCTTAACGCTTAGCTACAGTGAATGTCTCACTAAGAGTGGAGTGGACCTGATGTCAGCATGTTCTATCCAATCACTGCGAGCGCTACTCATCACTCTGTTTTCTGATAGGCTGAGACAGCCGCCAACCGTATCTGCAAAGTGCTGGCTGTCAACCAGGAGAACGAGCAGATGATGGAGGACTACGAGAAGCTGGCCAGTGAGGTGAGGAGAATTTATTCATCTACCTGACTCTACACTTTTCATTTTATTTTGATGTTTTGTAATTAAGTTTAGTTACTGATCAAGTGTCAGAGCCTTGTTTCCTGACAATCTGATTGTATTTCCTGTCTGGTCTCCTCCTGTTCAGCTGCTGGAGTGGATCCGCCGGACCATCCCCTGGCTGGAGAACCGGACCCAGGAGAAGACGGTGACTGACATGCAGGCCAAGCAGGAGGACTTCAGAGACTACCGCTGCGTCCACAAACCCCCCAAGGTAACAGAGCTCCTCAAATGCTCTCTACTCACACCATGAAAATGGTTTCTCACTTCCATCCTGACCACAGTCCTTATTCTAAGAGGTAAGAGGTTTTGTTTCCTCTACTGAATGGCTGACACTGTGAAACCTCTTCCCCTCTTGTCCTCAGGTCCAAGAGAAATGCCAGCTGGAGATCAGCTTCAACACTCTGCAGACCAAACTGAGACTCAGCAACAGACCTGCCTTCATGCCGTCAGAGGGACGCATGGTGTCTGTATGTACACCTACATCTCACTCTGAGTCCCATGAAAAGATTCCATGTCACAAGACATTTGAATTATATTTGTATATCTTACAGACGGCAGGAAATCTGCTTACCCTTATTAAAAATATATAGATATGCAATACATAAATAGGACAAGTGTGCTCTCCACAAAGATTTTCATCTACACTTAAACCTGCATTGAAACATTTTATTATGTAAACAACCTTTGTGTCAGCCTCAAGCCTCACAGAACACGTTAGCATCCGTTGAATTTTCAAATACTTTTATTTTAGTTTTGACTTTTTCATTTCATGTTGCTGGTTTTAACAGAAAAGTAGCACATAGTTAAGTCAGGTGTAAAATGCACAACATCCTTTCCTGTCTCTGGTGTGTATATATATCATGTTTTGTGCATTTGTCCATGACACTGACATTCTTTAATAATTCACTTTTTGCCATTACACGGTGAACAGAAATCTCTCAGATCAGCTTTAAGTCTAGTTCTCTTGAATGATTCAACCCAATAGAGGGTTTAGTTTCACACCATTACACTTCTTTACAGTTTGGAATGACTGCTAGTAGGTGGGCTGTTCTTCTACTGTCATGGACTACAAACTGGTGCATTATGTGCTCTGCAGTGAAGGAATGGTATAATAACAGCTGCTGTTTTCTCTCAGGACATCAACGGAGCGTGGTACACTCTGGAGGGAGCAGAGAAGGGCTACGAGGAGTGGATCCTCAGCGAGATCAGACGTCTGGAGAGACTGGAGCATTTGGCAGAGAAGTTCCACCAGAAGTCTAAAATCCATGAGTCCTGGACCGACGGTGCATTAACGCTTAATCAAACACACATTCACCCTTTGTAAAATACCGCTAACTGTAGTCCCCCCCCTCGATGATCAAGTTGAATCCCCTTTTTGGCAAAAAAAATCAATTTCCATTCATTCCAAGAGAAAAATCCCTCTTCTCTATCCAACTGTACATATTAGTAAATCAAATAGTACAATTACTAAACACTCATTTGATATTTTATTGAACCAGTCTGTGTTCTTCACAAAGAGAGTAGCTGATGCAGATTGTTTGAAATATACACTTGAAGCTCATATTTGTTTTTGAAGTAAATTGCTGTGTTGGCTTCAGGTGATGAAGTCTATTACTTAGTATCTTTGTTTCCTTGACTTTTATAACCAATGTCAAATCAACACTAATGTTGGCTACATCTACATGAAATATACTGGTCAAAAAAAGATAAGACTGACATTTAGTTAAAAAAAATATCTTTGCCAGTTTCTTTTTAAATGTTGTAAACAAAGTAGAGGGGATAAAAGGTTATAGACTGACTACAAAATAAAAACGATTAAAAACACAAAGTGAATACAGTATAAAGCAGCTGACCAAATGAACCCTCCCAGAGAGCAGCAGGTTAAGTTATTAACATGATGCTCTGTGTGCAGGTAAGGAGGCCATGCTGACCCAGAAAGACTACGAGACTTGCACCCTGTCCGAAGTCAAGGCGTTGCTACGGAAACACGAGGCCTTTGAGAGCGACCTGGCGGCCCATCAGGACCGAGTGGAGCAGATCGCCGCCATCGCACAGGAGCTCAAGTAAGGAGGCAGAAAGGAAGTGGAGGAGACTCATGTATCTGTGTGATAGCATCTTTTATAAATCTGCTCCTCCCTGCCTGCAGCGAGCTGGACTACTACGACTCTGCCAGCGTCAACGCTCGCTGTCAGAAGATCTGTGATCAGTGGGACAGCCTGGGGGCCCTCACCCAGAACCGCAAGGAGTCTCTGGAGGTACCTCTCTCTCTCTCCCAGTTATGTGTGTGTGATCACATATAGATTGACTGATGCAATCAGATGGCTTTAATGCCCCAGTGCCAAATGCAAAAATAATAATATTCCCAGTGTCTAATAAAGTCCTAGAACAACTTTATCAAATATTATTATCAAAACATTTGAATTCTGTGCTTCCACAGAGGACAGAGAAGCAGCTGGAGTCCATCGATGAGCTGTACCTGGAGTACGCCAAGAGAGCAGCGCCCTTCAACAACTGGATGGAGGGAGCAATGGAGGACCTGCAGGACATGTTCATCGTGCACAGCATCGAGGAGATCCAGGTAACACAGGAGGGGGGTGAATTACTGCTTTGTCCTGGACATATGCACAAGAGGAATTACTGAAGAAAGAAGGGTTGCGCGATATGAAGAAAAATATCACAATATTTCTGGTCAAATACCTCTATTTATATTTCAACATTATAGTAGGGTTAACTTTTTTGTGCTTTCGCAACATATTTACAGAATAATATTATTGTAAAACAAAATAAGGCAAATAAGCTGCTCGAACAGTCTGGTACATTTGTAAAAATGATCACTTTACTGCAGCCTTTAAAACCAGGAACAGACAACACTTGTTCAATGTAACAATTTCAGAAATCAAGCACAATATCTAGTCTCATATCACAATTGGATATAAAATGAATATATTGACAACCCTAAATAAATGTGAATTATACAGTACTGGGAGCAAAATAACATAATATAATGTGAGATGAACTATACCTGGCTAAACTGCTGCAGGTAAAACCAAACGTTGTTCCCCCCTCAGGGTCTGATCACAGCCCACGAGCAGTTCAAGTCCACCCTGGCGGAGGCCAACAAGGAGCGGGAGGCCATCCAGGCCATCCAGGCGGAGGTGCAGAAGATCGCCCAGAGCAACGGCATCAAGCTGAGCGCTGCCAACCCCTACACCACCATCACCCCGCAGAGCATCGACAGCAAGTGGGAGAAGGTGGGCTGTGGCCTGGACTTCCTGGGGATTATACCTGCACAAAGCTTATGCAGTTTATACCCCCTTGAGTTTAAATGTACTAGTGTAGTGCAATACAAATTGTAAATGTATTGTATCTCCCTCGGATTTGGGTGTTTTTTTAAAAGCAGCGGGGAAGGAACACCACTCCGTCATATCTGCCTCCTACACTTATTTCTTTGTGTCCATTTTTTGGTGGGGGATAAACTCCCTACAGTAAACCAATAATAGCCACTAACACTAATGCTGCTTTTAAAGTGTGCATACCAGGCGCCGTATTCACAAAGGATCTTAGGGCTAAAAGTAGCTCCTAACTGGCGAATTTAGGAGAAACTCCTAAACATAATGGGCGTGTCAGTCTTAAATTTAGGACTCCTAATTTTATTCACTA